TGCTCTGGCATACCCTTCAAATTGTCCAATGTGTTCATTTGTCATGCAGGACAGCACTTCGGCACTGACACATCTCAAGGAAGAGCATGGATTTGGTAACCTTCACTGTGCTGAGTGTGACATGCATTATAACTTTACATATCAACTGCAGCGTCATACTGATATTGTGCACAAGATATGCCAGTATGCCAAAAGACGATATATCTGCTGGATATGCCGTGCATATGATCATGTGAAGAAAGAGACTCTCATGAATCATTTTCGCACAGTGCATGGACTAGATCGAGAGCAAGTTGACGAGAAGGCGATGATTAGGACTCGTGGTCAGGGAACAATGCCAACTTCTCAGTTTATTCCAACCAAGCCATTGGGAAGCAAAGAAATGCCAGGTGGGAGTCGACAGGATGCTGATACTGTGGCAGTCAGACTGAGCAGAGACAAAGTGAAGACTTCTCCAGGCAAGATGTCTATTGGATCTGGAGCTTCATCTAAGCACCCAAGTAATAAATCCACGCAAAGTTCTCCTGTGAAAAGCATGGATAGTAAACCAACCAGTCCAACTTCTGTTAAATCACCTTTGGGCAAAAGAGAAGATGCAAAGCTCAAGGAAAAGACAAAAGTTCTCATTAAAAGGTTACCTGATTCCATCTTAGATGAGCAGTCCAGATCAAAGAGGAGAAAAACAAGTACAGAGGAAGGAGAGGCTGAAAAGAATCCTAAAAGTAATATAAAGGAAAGGAAAAGGAAAAAAAAGGCTTTCAGATGTGCCACTTGTGGATTTGGCACCAACTCAAGAGAGAAATATGAACTACACTCTAGTAAGCACAAAGAGCACGGGGAAGATGGTGGAGCCGAGGGGTTTGTGTGCCAGGAGTGTGGTGCATCATTTGTCGTTGAACCCTCCCTTGCACGACACATGTTCTTTGCTCACAAAGTAAAACTCCAGGTGACAGGGGATGACAGAAATGCTGAGAAGAGTGAAGTCCAGGCTGATGTGAAAGAGGAAACTATTATCCCAATGGAAAGTGAGGATACAGAAAAGGAACCAATATTCAAAGCCACTGTGAAAATGGAGGAAGAGGAAGAACCAGAGGAAGCAAAAGAAGAAGAAATAGAGAAGCCCGAAACAAAAGAAAATGAAATAGATGTTAAAGTAGAAGAGGAAGAGACTCTTGCCAAGAGAAAAGTATCAAGGGCTGCAGCAAAGAAGAACTTAAGGAATGCACCAGCAAAGAAGAGAGGAGAGGCAGGTTCACTCAGGAGGAAAGAAGAGACAGTAGTGAATAAAAAGAAGCCAGAAAGCATCCCCAGGAAACTTCCAGATGCAGGAACAGTCAAAAGAAGAGTTGAGAGAAATGTTGCAAAGAAGAAAGCAGGGAAGGTTGTGACCAGAAATAAGAAGGAAAAAGAAGTAACCAGACCCAAGCAGGAAAGGGAAATAGCAAAAAGGAAAGTAGACAAGAAAGTAGAATTCAAAAAGATTGAAGATTATGAAGAGGAGGAGAGATTTGACAATCAGTGTGTTGTTTGCAAAGAGGAATTCACATCACCAGTGGAGCTCTACAGTCATTTACGGACCCACGGAATGGCCTTCCTAAAGCTAGGCCGCAAAGCCAGGCCCTTTGGCTTGGAGAAGACAGCTGATCGATGAACTGTCTGTGACTTGGACATAATTTTATGGGTGCTGTAATAGTGGGTGACTTGCTAGGTTTAGTGAATGTCTTTTTGTATACCTAATCAGGATTTTGAAAAGCTGCAGAATGAACCTTTTACATTTCTATGCAACACTCTGGCAAACTTTAAATCTTTTTACCAATCATTTTGGTTCAAAGGCATGCCAAAGAAAGCAGCTGCATTCTGCCAAGTCTCGGAGATTTCTTTGTGGTGCCAAGAGAATGTTAAATACTCAACGTTAATTGACACTGAGTGTGAAGTCCTTCTTTTTACAATTTTCTCAAGGCTGAAACTAATGTCCATCAAAGCATGATTACCAACCATAAGTTTTTGATAATCAGTGAAAGAGACTTTATTGTAACAGTATTTTTTGTTATGAAACATTTACATTTTATACGTAGCAGAATAAGGAAATATTTTATAAAGCACGGTTTTGTTTAGAGTTTTATTAATGTTAAAACAAGCATTTTTCAGGTATGCCATATGACGTTTATTTGATAGTTATCACTATTGCCAAATTTTAAGAAAAAGAAAAACAAACAAAAAACTCAGAATTATTACAGCATCATATAATAAAGTGCAATATATATTGGTTTAGAATATAAAAAGATGTTTTTCCATGTTGTCAAACTAAAATTGGATTTACTGTATGGCTGTTGATGCCCAGAAAAGGCAGTATCAGCTGTTGGCTTGTGCTCTTGGATCAAGAATTGTTAATGTGATGATAATCTGCAGTGTCTAGTCATGTTACTGTAGTTTACATGTTTAACTTTTTTTTTTTTATATTCTGATGTATGGAATATTAGAAATGGTTGTGCATAAACCCCCACCACCGTATTTTTGTAAGTAATTATTATTTTTTTTTATGGTGTGATATAGTTTATCTATATTAAACAGTCCTTTTAAGCACCCTAAACTCTCTATTTCAGTGTATGTTTTTGGATATCCCAGATAGATATTAATGACCTTGTTTCTAGCACGCATATGGACGGTTTCCTCCGGGTGGTCCAGGTGCATGGCATAGATGATGTATATCCTAAATTACCATCGTACTTGAAATTTGATGGTGATCGAATGGATATAGACACACTGCGATTTGTACTTGTGGATGACTGCAGAGAGAAGCGAGACAAAAATGTGTGATACAAGGACTACATAGAGAAACGCACGGCTAACGCAGAATAGTGGGATGAGGCTAATAAGACAGGGAGACGAAATAGTGTGATGTGCTCGGCGATTCGCTGTGAGTGGTGTTGGATACCTTAACAACTCCTCTCAAGCTCATGACTCTATTTGAGGGTTGGAAATGGGAAATCGCAGACGGGGGGAAGGGGGAGGGACAGAGAGATAAGGTTGGCAGTGAGAAAAGGGGATGTCTTTTTTAGGGGCGAAAGAAGAGACACACGAAAAAGACATGGGCACTTCACTATCATTACATTCCTACCACTATGGAATCTCCTTGCGCGACACAGTGTTTGGGATTTATCGCATATTGCTGCCTAGTATGAATCCACTGTACAATGAGGGAAACCGGCTGTGGGTCGAGTTAGTGAATCGACGATCGCTGATGATATGTCTGGCTATAGACGCACCGCTGTGGGACTTGAATGCATGGGTCTATCATGTTTAAAAAGGACGACGTACTTTTATTTCAGTAGAAATAAAACTGAAATGTTAGGTGAAAGACTGAGGTTGAAGTAGAGAGAAGGTAGAGATTTGGACGAGGCAGTGTACTGAACTTCTGTGGTGTGATAGCAGTGAAACCGTCTATGCCTTGGCCACCACTATGTAATTAATCTTATGCATTTTTATAACGAAGATTCTTCTTTTTCTTGTCTTTGTGGTGGACTGGCAGAGTGTGAGAGGGAGAGGATGAGAGAGGAGATGAGAGGGGAGAGATGAGAGAAGAGACGAGGAGAGAGGAAGAGAGAGAGAGGAGAGAGAGAGAGAGAAGAGGAGCGAGAGTCAGGAGATTTTGAGATGAGAATTGAAAGGGAGGAGTTGAATTTGTAGAGAGATGGAGAATATAGAGATAAATAAGAGATGATGGAGGAGGGGAGAGAAGATGCGAAGCGAGGTGGTAAGAAGAAGATATGAAAAGACCAGAGGAGAGAGATGGATGAGAGGGGAGAGAGAGAGAGCTGAGAGGAGAGAGAGCGGAGAGGAGAGCGGGGGGAGAGAGAGGAGAGAGAAAAGAGATGAGAGAGGAGAGAGTGGAGTGCCCGATCGATTGTTAGAGGAGAGGAGATGAGAGAGAGAGTGTAGAGAAACGAGATTACTCGTGTATTTAGTCTCGGTTTGCTGTCATGTGAGAGACGAGACAGTTGTGAATGGACTGGCGATTGTATGGTAATTTTAGCAGGTACCAAAAACTATGCTTTTTATTTTCTAAACTCTGGATTTCTGATAGGATTTTCTATCCTCTCTTCCGAGAGGGAGGGCTGTGTATTGTTGGTTTTTGACTTTTGGGAGAGATGGGAGGAGGGAGAGAGGGAACCTCTCTCCATTTCCTCTTTTCTTTTCTTTTCTTCCTTCCTTCCTTTCCTTCCTCCTTCCCTTTCTTCCTCCTTCCCCCTCTTCCTTCCCTCCCTCCTTTCTCCCCACCCTCCTTTTTCTTTCTTCTTTCTTCCTTTCTTCTTTCTCTTCCTTCTTCTTCCTTCCTTCCTTCCTTTCCTTCTTCCTCCTTCCTTCTTCTTCTTCCTTCCTTCCTTCCTTCCTTCCTTCCCTCCTCTTCCTTCTTCCTTTTCCTTCCCCCTTTCCATAAGAATTAACCATGTGTATTTTTTTTCTTTGAGAAATGAGGTTTTTGTGATCTAAACCTACTTTTGGTTATATATTTTTTCTTCCCCCCCTTTTTTTTTTTTTACTATTTAACAAAAACATTGTGCTTTCTCTAATCATTTTGCCTAAGCTTTATGTGGTTTATATATTTTTGTTTTTAACACAAATAATACTTAGTTGTGTTAAATGCATTTTGGGGTTAATATATATCTTTACAGTTGGTTTACAAAATGTGTGAAGGACATTTTTTAAATTTATAAGGATAGTTGAAGCAGGAAGGTTTCAGTTTTGACAAAATGTGCTCTTGGACATTTTTTAAATTTATAATTTTGTATTTGAAAGCAGTTTAACAAGTGTTTGCCACAAGAGACAGTCAAGGATTGCTTTCCTGTGTGTGCTCATGAGTAACCTTCAGCCTATATTATGTTTAGGCTTTCTTTTGTATTGATATATTGTCAAATGATTTATAGAAATAGTTGTTTTTATATTACAACATTCCATGGTTATTCATAGAAATGTTAGTTGCTGGAAATGAAAAATGACAATGAAAGATTTTTTTGTTTTTAATCATGACCTTAATCTACCAAGCAAATGATTGTACTTATAATATTATGTGTTACCATTAATCATATGGAAATATGACTCACAGCTGAAAAGATTGTTTCACTTTTCAATACAAACTGGCTTTACTTAAAATCATAAGTATTTCAACAATTACAGACCATCACACTTGTACTATAGATATACTAAACAATTATCTTGACATCATAAGTCCCCAAACTGTCTTGAAAGATGTGGGCCTTTTTTGAACGTCTTTTTCTTCTTTTTCTTTGTCTCAGGACTGGTTTCTGACACGCTGCTGCTGCCTCGCTGGTGGCTGGCACGCTTAGCATAGGGGTTAGTGTAAGAGTCGCTCTGACTTTTCCTTCGATCGTTGTGAGAGTCAACTAGAGCACTAACAGAGAGACGCACTCAGTAAGAGCGAGAGACCGGAGGGGCGAGGAGGTTCGTGGAACCGCCAGTCTGACAAGAAAAAGGAAGAAAGAAAGGACGTGACAAAAGACGCGCGCGCGCGACACCATCTTTCAAGCGTATGAGAGAGATGAGAAGAGAGAGAGAGGAGACAGACAGAGAAAGGAGAGAGAAAGATAGGATAGACCAGCCACGAAAGAGAAAGACAAAGCGGAGGAGTACATGGTTGGCACTACACTGTTGTGGATGTACACAAGAAATAATCTGCGTATTAGCGAATATGCCTGATCCGACAATAAAACCTCTTACCCGGGTCTTTAAGTAAATACTCGTGGAGGGTCTGCATCCAAATTCGATGCGGCGCACGAAATCTGCAGTCGCATTGTCACATATGTAACCAACGCAGTTTTTTTGAAAGAGAAAGAACATGCTGTTGTCGAGCTGTGAGTCCAGAATATATTCCATTATAGATAGATTTAATGGTATACACTAATTTTATTATAAGTACCAATATTTAGCCAATGTGTTCAAATGATATTGTGGTAGTTATTATCAATTTCGGTCATGTGTCTTATATAAATAAAAATTACTTGTCTTTCATTGTCATTTTTAACTTTCTGCACTAACTGTTTCTATCGAGACTAACCATTGGTTAAATTCGTTGTTTACATCTAAATGAAATATTCATCTTATAAATCATTTGTATCTATTCAATTCATTGGTAAAATTATAAATCAATACATTGAAAAGATAGGTACCTGTTACAATAACAATATTTTTTCACAATGAAAATAATAGGATACTGCAAGAGTTCATATCCATGTGAGCACCATAATATCTGTAAGGTATACAAACACATACTAAAGTAATAAAATCTCTCGTCATACCGACCTTCGATGTCATCACCTAACTCCTGGCAAAACCTGTTAAATAGCTTTCATATATAACTAAAAGATATCTTCAATCATGATTATTATAAATGTCCATCGTTGACCAACATTTGTAAAAAATCCCTCTAGTATGATACCTTGAAAAAACAAACAAAATATTATTTATACACAGGAAACTATGCCTATTACATCCGTACTTATAATCGATGTTACATATTATTCTGATGTTAAAATTCGAATCTATTAAAAATCATAATAAACCACTAGTTAGCATAATGTCTAGAGAAAGCACATGTTTTTGTTCATAATATAGTCAATAAAAAAAAAAAAAAGGGGGGGGGAGAAAAAATTAATACCATAAGTAGGTTTAAGTATACAACCTCTATTTCTCAAAGTAATAAAAAATACACATGGTTAATTTTATGTAAAGGGATCAGGAAGAAGGAAGGATACAGGAGGAATGTGAAGGATGGAGGATAGGAAGGAAGGAAGGAAGGAGTATAGGAAGGAAGTTTAAGGATAGTGAGGTACAAGAAGGAAGGAGAAGGATCAGGAGGAAGAGGAAGGTAAGGAATGAAAGAAAGGAGAAAGATGAAGGAGAAAGTAGATGGGTGGGGAAGAAGTGAGGGGAGGGCAGGAAGGTAGGGGAGGGAAGGGAAGAATGTGTAAGGAAGGAAGGAAGGAAGGGGTGAGGAGGGAGAAAAAGTAAAAGAATAATACAGAGGAAGAGAATGGACGAGAAGGATTGAAATCAGTTGACAAAGAAAATGGAGAAGTGCTGTGCGAATAGTAACATATTATCAAAACAGAGTTAGAAAATGAATTAGCTTAATATTTAATGGACTATCTGGTAAAAATTACTATATACATAATGCAGTTCCATAGTAATTTTTCAAATGACAGTCAACCGAGCCTTAAAATATACAGAGTAATTTTATTTTTTACTATTACAATATATAATAACAATGGATGGCATTCAGGTTTTTATTTGTTTTTAAATGCTGTTATAAATAAAATCTTTATCTCCCTGATTAGCCATGATGCCAGACACATAAAGAAAAGAAAAAGAAGAATCTTTCTGTTTATATAAATAATGCATAAGGTTAATAATATAACTTAAGTGTGTGGCACAGGCATAGACGGTTTCACTGCTATACATTACAAAAGAGTTTTAGTCACTGACCATCAAATTCATATATATTTTTCACTCGTCTTTCACCTACATCAGTTTTATTTCTACTGAATAAAAGACCGTTCTGTGCTTTTTACTAATTGATTGCCAAGTCCCACGGTGCTTGTGATTGTATTAGCCAGACATATATCAACCTGGAGTGTCATGTATAAGCGAGAGGGCTTTACCTCATATAATCAGTTTCTGCTCAAATCAAATTGGCAAATTTCCTGCACTTGGAGAAGCATTCGAGTNTTGTTTGTTTGTTTAAAGTGCTTGTGCATTTTTGTTTTGTTTTTTGTTTTGTTTTAGTGTTTGGCATTCTTTTTGTTTGTTTATTAATTTGTTATTTGTTTTGTTTTATTTTGTGGTTTGCTAGTACGTGTGTTGTGTGTTGTCTGATGTCCTTCTGTACTGGTGTTTAAGTTGTCGTTTGTTTGGTATGGATGTCTGTCTCCTTGTCTGTCTGCTCTCTGTCTCTTCTCTCCTCAAACACAGCCACACGACACATCACATCACATCACCAGACACACATAAAGTACACACAAACACCACACACATACACACACAACAACTGACACAACATCAGCACACGGTCGCATTGCGGTGATGATGGTGTGTAGTTAACACACACACACACCTTAGGCAAGATCACTCCACGATAATTCCTTAAAAGAAACACACACATATAAATGAATCACAAACTAATGCATTGCACATGACACACACACACACACTCACGTACTCACACACTTAACGTACACAAACCTAACGTACACGTGCCATTTCCATCCCGTTCCGTCTCGTCCATTTCACTTCTTTTCTCTCTTCTTTTTCTTGCCACATTTGTTCTTTTCTCTCTTCTCTTTCTCATTTCCTTTCAATCTCCTTGGCGGTTTCCTTCCCGTGTGTTCTTTTTGGTCGCTTTCTTCTTTATGGATTCGCATTTTTCTTGCTTTTGCTTCATATTTCTTTTCGTTTTCCTCTTCCTCTTTTCTCTCTCTTGCTGCGTCTTTGTCTGTCTGTTCGTTCGCTAGTCTGTGTCTTTCTGTTTCTCTGTCTTTCTCTACGTCTCTGTTTTTTTTCTCTCTCTGTCTCTTTCTTTCTTTCTTCTCTCTCTGTCTCTTTCTTTCTTTCTTTTTTTCTTCTCTCTCTCTCTCTCTCTCTCTCTCTCTCTCTCTCTCTCTCTCTCTCTCTCTCTCTCTCTCTCCTCCCTCCCTCCCTCTCCTCCCTCCTCCTCTCCTCCTCTCCTCCTCCTCCTCTCTCTCCTCCTCCTCCCTCCTCTCCTCTCCTCCTCCCTCCTCCTCTCCTCCTTCCTCCTTCCTCTCTCTCTCCTCCTCTTCTACCACTCCCCGCTCCGCTTCTCTCTTCCTCTATATCTCCTGCCTCTCACACCTGTACCACACGTGCAAAAAATTTAATTGATATATTAGCGCAGATGTTGCAGTATGATCTGCGCATGTGTGCTGGAGGATATACGCATGTGTGTTTCTGGAATGATTTTGTATATTATATATATATATATATATATATATAAATAATATATTATATATATATATATATTATATATATATAATTTTTTTTTTTTTTTTTTTTTTTTTCTTTGTCTTTTCTTTCTTTTTTCTTTTTTCTTCTGTCTTTCTTTTTCTTTTCATTTTTTTTTTCTTTCTTCTTTCTTTCTTTCTTTTTCTTTTTTTTTTTTATCTTACTGTATTTTTTTTCTTTTTCTTTTTTTGTGTGTGTTGGCATGAGTGTTTATATACGTGTGAGTGTGCAAGAAGAGTTATATTCTTGTTGCAATTATTATTTTTGCATAGTTTGCATATATTTACTTGCAGTTGATTCCAGATAACTTTTTTTTTAGAATCTCACTTTTCTATTTTCTGTATTTCTGTCTGTTTGCTAGTCTGTCTGTCTATCAGCCTGTTTGTCTTTGTCTGCCTGTTTATCCGTCTGTCTGTCTATTTGTCTGTCTGTCTGTATGTCTATCTGTCTGTTCTATTTTGTTCTGCCTGTTTGTTTGTCTCTCTGTCTGTCTATTTGTCTCTCTGTCTGTATGTCTATCTGTCTGTCTGTCAGTCTGTCTATTTGTCTGCCTGTCTGTCAGTCTGTCTTTGGCTGCCTCTGTCTGTCTGTCTGTCTATCTATCTGTCTGTCTGTCTATCTGTCTGTCTGTATGTCTTTGTCCGTCCGTCCGTCAGTCAGTCTGTCTATCTGTCAGTCTGTCTGTCTGTCTGCCTGTCTATCTGTCAGTCTGTCTGTCTATTTGTCTTTATCTATCTATCTTTCTGTCTATCTATCTGTCTGTCTTTATCCGTCCGTCTGCCTATCTGTCTGTCTGTCTCCTTTCCTCTTCATTAACACATCATCTAACACTATTTTCTCATCCATCTGAGCTTCACAGGGAAGAACAAGACCATTCTGAAACATTAGCATAACATTTTAATTAATCACGGGATTCATTGACCGGACACGCTGGCGAGAGAGACATGCAGATACATATGAATTAATACGTCGGTAGATTAGGTAGATATGTATATTGATACATATATACATGCGTGCATTAGTACGTCGGTAGATATTTATATTGATACATATATATATGCGTGCTTACGTATACTTGTGTAGAAAGGCTACATATGTACAGACACACGCACACAAACGCATACATATATACATACATACACTACGTGTCACGCACACAAGCACACACATACATCAGACACCACACACACACCCACACACACACACGCCACGGCAACGCAACGCACGCACGCACGCACATGCACGCACAACACACACAACACACACACACACCACACAGCACGACCACACACACACACACACATACACACACCCACACACACACGGAT